GAGCCGTTGCTCTCGACACGATTCCACCAAAGGATGAAACGACGAAAAGTTTAATGAGCCCGCCTACTACGTGTCCTCGGTCAGTAGAATTGCCTTTTCCTTCTCTTAAAGACCTTGATTTCGTACATTCTTATAATCAAGTTACAAACGAAGACACTGTAAAATATTTTTTCACGTTATAAGAATATCCTATTTATTTCACACGGTATAACATTGTGTAGGATAAATTGGAAACATAGCTAATTTCTCTATAGTCATTTTTCGATTTATTATTCTATCCGAAATTATAAAGTAAATACTGTCAGTTAAACTAAACAGATTCTTCAAGTATACAATTTCTCAACAACAGCGAATGTATTAAGTTAAAATGTAAGTTTTGCATTGCCACTTTCACGGATGATTATTATGAACACGTGCATTGCGCAAATGTACACACACGACAAATATCGCGGTTCATCGTATTTGTGTACAAAATACCCGTTGATTATTACCTATTCTGTTCCATTATATTCGATAAACAATAAATTAAATCGCAACCCGTAACAAGCTATGGCAATACGTGACAATCTAATTAAATCCATTTTAAACAATATCCGTGATAAAGGTCCCATGTAGAACAGACGTATTGATTGTACGGCACTCGGCAAGTTTCACCAGTGTTTTACAGCATTTCGAAACATAAACGCGACTGAGCACTAATGGACCAGCTTAAATATGTAAGAGAAGCCTGCCCACCGGGTAGCGGGTAACAATAAACTAACACTTAAGAAGACGTGCTTCAAGGCACAATGCGAAGTCACACTCTTCGCGCTAACGATCTCACCTCCAAGTTTCAAGCTTCGAGCTGCTTGTGTCACCGTCTCTCTCTCTGGGAAGACTGCTTTAAACTGGTGTGGGACAGAAGAAACGCGAAAGAGCAGCGAGATATATCGACAAATATTTTTAACAAAATGCACTAACAAGAATGAGAATAATTCTGAAATTAATGAATCCATCTTTTGAGAGTGGAATAATATCGAGCGTCGCATCGAAATCCCCTAAATGAAAGAAGCAGACGACGCCCGGTGTATCGTAAAAGCTAACAATGATGGAAATATTAGTTTTTAAAGTCGCGCAGGGTGCCGTTAACGTTCCGAGTCTCTGCCGTTCGGAAAGCTAAAAGTTGCTGTCCCCTTGTTGCTCGTCGCTTTCCTTAACACCTCGCATTTATAGGCCTTCGTGAGCTATAATTCCTATTTTCCTTCGTACGTTGTTTGATATAAGAAAAGAAAAATGCGCGTTCCCATTCGCCTAGTTTGCAGCAAATTATACGATTCTATCCCATTATAATGCATATTAAAGTAAATCTTTACGATAACTACTTTTATTCAAAGCTGGCGCTACTTCCTCGCCGACGTTTTAAATTACGAAAATAAGCCAAGTGTAAAAATAGGCTATCAACGATCGACTTTAGAAGTGAAATTATTTCAATTTCAAATGTTAAACAACATAAACGCTGGTTATATGGAATTTCCATTCAAATCGGAATCAAGTCCTCCGTCCGTGCATCCTTAAATTTGACCGTCGTACCTTTCGATCGCGACGGCCGATAACAGTGGTCATTATAAATTTAAGCGCTTTTAACAAAAGCCACGTTAGCTCACAGCCGTTTCGCACGCAAGCGGCACTTTGCATGCCGCATTCCGGACGACTTGCCACCCTTGTTTGAACTGGCGAACTGGTGTTGCGCTCAAAGTCCGAATGCATAATTAATCGGGTTATCAATTAAAGGAGCGCCGCCGATTCGTACGACTGTTTCGTACGATCGAATCATTGTTATACGTCGATATTTGATCGTGTTACTAAAAACGGAAACGAGTTTCGTGTGACGAGCCCTACTTTTTTAATCATAATTCTTACTTAATGATGAATTAATAATATTGAACGTAAGTATTTGTTTAACACGTTCCGTGCCAAGCGATTTTTGCCTTTTGTTGTCGTTCAGGCCATGTCAAAAATGTTGTAGAAAGCACACATTGTAATTTAACACGTTCCGTGTCAAGCGATTTTTGCCTTTTGTTGTCGTTCAGGCCATTTGATTACATCATCAATCGATAAGTAGTTCTCTTGTTTAGAGTAGCTATCACATCCTGTAAATATTACCACTTGTGGTAATATTATTAGAAATATGCTGGTACACGTGGCCTGGTACCACCTGTGGTAATACACGTGGCGCCGCGATCAGTTCGATTGCAAAGAAATGTAAATAAATCAAATAAATATGACTGCGTGTACCACCGGTGATACACGTGGCAAATAAATTAAATAAATATGAGTGTGTGTACCACCGGTGGTACACCGTACACGGAACGTATTAAAAACACTCGTTATTTTGTCACTGTTTTATATATAAAACGTTGTATTTATTTAATCGGACGTTTTGTAATTATTCTGATTGATTATATTCGATTATTAATATCAAACAATCGAAGATTTTCGAGAAAAATTTCGACTGATTACCTATGTAGGCAAGATCTTCAATTATTTTAAAGCTTTAATTACTTTACGTCTTTGAATCGATTTATGCTCTGTACAAAGATACAGACGATCGATCAACTGAATTCTCATTGGTGGAACGGCATAGAAGCCTGTAAACTCTGTTTGAAACCGGCGAACTCAATCATTCTCTCTGTTCTACGACACGGCAAGGACCAACACGGTCTGTGTAAATACAGGGTACCACGTGCACTTTACTCGATATTTAATGGGAATGCCAAATCCTTCCGGTGCATTTTCGATTAGCACGAAGGGAAATGAATTACGCGATCCTTTCGTGAAGTATTCGCTAACTTTAGGAATAATCGATAAAAGACAACTTTTGGCATATAAAACTACACTGCATTATATATGAAGAAGATATTAAGTAAGTAGAGAGTAAGAGAGAATGTTTATATACTGTACGTGTACATTCCATCGTAAATAATTTAATAGCATTAATTTGTTTAAACTTACCATGTACAGCCATTATGTCGAGAGATCTTCAAATGAAAAGTACGAAAAACAAGTAAAATAGATATTAATCACATTTATGCCAAATACAATACACGTTACATATGAATTACGATATATTATTACTAAAAATATATACAAAAAAGTAATGAACAATAAATGTCACGCAATTACTTCAATTTTGAAATCGTTTATATCAACACAACGCGCACGTTTCAAATCGTTATTTTAAACTGGAAAATTTCTCTAGCGCCGATGGCGCACTCTATGAACTAGTAGCAAAATTAACCTAGCCTTACTGTTACATGGTAAGCTGAATTATCATTGGCCGAGATGTTCAACAAATAAAATAAATCTAGTTAAATCATCATTGTTGCCACCTTTATGTTTCATACTTTGCTTATGACAAATCAATTTGAACCGTTTAGCGCCGTAAAATTATCGTGTTTGAATTGGATCGACTTTTAACGTTTGAAGTTTTAACAAGTAATAATCGTTATCGACGTTACAAGTGCGGGTAAAAAATTTGATATCTTTAGTTTTTGATAAATAAAAGATATAGTGGGACAGTTTGATGAGTGCACGCAAGAAAGAAAAATGAGTGAGATCATGGAACTTTTTTATGTGCTTCGGCGTTCATCACACATGTTCTTATCAATAAGAGGTAAACCAACAAACGATAAATACTGAACTAGCCCTCACTCATGATACCATTCTTGTTATAGTTATGTATATAATTTGTAAAGATATAATTTTTACATCCTTGCATACTCTACGCGTAGTTATATATATATATGTATATGTATATGTGTATATATATTGATGCGTAATGCAAGAGTTAATGCGCAAATTCTAAGAAATTAATCATTTTCCGCAAATCAATTATCTGTAAAAACCGTCATATATTTTCAAACTTTTAATAATTAACTTTGACTATGATTTAACAAAGTTTTAGAGAAAAGACAAAATATTCTGTTGAATCTTTATTATACTTCACATAATAAAGGTAACAGTTTTATGAAAAGCATACATTCATAAAAGATATGTGTATACATTTGTAGGATATAATGGAAATAACGTTTAATACTTTTATTACATGATATAATGGCTGTCCATATAATACTATTATTTATTTTTTGCAATCAAATTTTGCAATATTAATGGCAAGGATAGTAGGAAAAGCATAAGTAAATAATGATGTCTAAAGTTGCAACGTCCATTGTCGGTGTTGATCAACTTATTAGCGTCCTGTCTGGAATTTAGCACTTACAGGTCTTGCAACTACACTGTCCGCCAGATTTGCAAGCGCATTTGTCTACAATATAAAATACAAAAATAATATTAATTGTCAAATATTTAATAATAATTTCTTAATAACAAACATTATGATAGACATAACAAATCTTCGTTATAATATTTCTAGACAAAAATTTTCAAACAAAATTTTGTGAAAATAAAACACATTTCATGGATTGTAACTCAAACTATAGAATGAATTGAAATTAACAATAGTCCCGGTTAAGCGGTCATTGCCCGAGTTTACAAAAAAAGAGATACAGTTTTCATGGTGAGGTATTATCACATACTTTCAAAGAAATATTCGTATTTTGTTGAAAAAAGCAGAAGTCTTTTTTACACATCGTTTGAAAATTAAAATTAAAACTTTAGAAATAATTTAAACTATTTATTACCTCCGCATCCAGAATCGCAGCACTTGCATTTGTCGCCACATTGACATTGTTGGCATTTATCTGCAATAAAAAATAACATTTTATTTATTAAACAATGTAACAAATGCATATATAAGTGTCACAGACCACTTTAATGAGGAAATTTACGTTCACTATCGGTAAATTGGTCAAACTCATCAATTGAGCGTTGCTCGTAATAATATTTGATGAATAAATTATATTATTACTTCCTGTATAAACCAATAAAGCAGACTGCGTATTATAAGGATTCCAAGAAAATTCGCGCAATTCTAGAACTTTTCCAATTGTACTCTGTTTATTCGTGTAAAATGAACGTCAGAATGTCTTAATATTGCAAAATTTTTAAAGAATGATGAAAAACAAAAGCTTTGTTGCATTAAAAAACAGATCAAGTACAAAAAAAATTGACAATAATTATAAGTAAAAAACATTATAAATGAACAAGTAAAAATACACGTAGCAAAATTTTAGAAATCCATATTGAAAGCATTAGTACTCAAATACAAGTGACTAGAATTATTAAAAATTTCACAGTTAGTGAATTGCGTGCATCATAATTGCATCAGATTATATTACATGAAGAAATAATTTCTTAGAAATGGAAGTAATTCTTACCTGAGCACTTATCGCAACTTGGTCCCGGCATTTTCGTTTCAAAGTATTTACTTCGAATAGCTTGAAAGCTGAATAATCACTTGTCAGTTCCGGCGTATCCGTTCGAATTTATCGATCATCTCCTACCACCAGCGCTCTTATACTAACGCATCTTTACGGCGTGTGCAACTAGCAACGCGCGGCGTGCGTGCCATGCGCAAATCAGGAGTGTATTAATTCACACTAGTTCCCTGCAAACTTAGAATTCATATATTTTATATTATATGCTTTGTATACTTTTGTATCATATTCGCAACTGTTCTTCGAAAATGACAATAGTTAGATGCAACTATTGTTAGAAATATATACAATAGACATACACTGCAATTTTAATTTTAAATGCATTAGAATTACTTATGGAGGGATAGACACATACAATTTACGTCCCTAAGCTGCAGCACGAGACCAATTGAGAACTTTTGCACGTTACACAACAGTGCGGGATAAGAATGTTACTACAATCGAGTTTATTCTAGAAATTTTATGTGAAGAATGGTGCAATGATTTGCAATTAGAGTAATGAAAAAAAAATTGAATGAAAAAATTAATTTCTTTCTATTCTTTCTTCGAAATCTATTAGGAAACATAATTAAGGGGAATTTATATTTTTACACGGTATTAGTAGGAAATAGAAATTGCAAAGTTCATTAAGAACGTCTTTGAAATGTATATAAACAATATGAAATTAAGCAAGATTATATTTTATTAAAAATTATTGCCTTTTACCAATGCTTAAATTGCTTATAATAAAATGTGAAATATATCTTATTGCAAATAAAAATTTAAATAAATTTAAATATTTCTCATGTTTATAAAGTTCGTTTTCCTGGCTGCTTTTTCAATATGTATGGATTCATCTTCTGGTTCATAATTAATTCTATATATTCCATTATCTGTGGAATTATTTTCTTTTTGTACTGAATTTATTCGACCTGAAAATATTTTTTAAATATATAGACGTGAATTAAAAATAATAGGCAACTTAGATTCTTCTATAATCAGATGTAGATGTAATACCTTCATGTCGGATAACAACTTTACTTTGAGCAGTTTCAAGTAATTTCTCAACACGGGTTCCTTGCTTAGATGACTTATTTTGTTTTATCTATAAATATGTATAATGAATTAATATATTTCCAAAATAGAAAAACAATATAAAAATACATACTACTTTAACTTGAGAAGGAAGTTTATATGAAACCTTAGGAAGCACAAAATGAGTTTTAGGTGTAGTCTCATTTTCTGATGTTTTTATTGTATGTGCCTTATAAAGAAATACAAAATTAAAAATTATCAATGGAATATTTTATAAATAAATTTATATTAATTTATTATTTATTAATATAATAAATAAATTTAGATACAATTATATTTACCTGCTCTTTATTTGTGTTTATTTTAGGAGATAAATTAATCTTGAGAGATGTTGTTCCTCGAATTTTATTTATGTTTTTTGATGTAATATCTTGTCTTGAATTTTTATTTGTTAATGCTTTAACATCCTGTTTTACAGGTGTAAGTAATAAGTGATCTGTTTTGGCACGTACATTTTTTATAAGTTGCATATCTGTACCTCTTATATACATACCCACTGGTGACATTATAGTATTATAATTCAACCGATATAAGCCTTCTGCATGTGGACTTTTTAAAATGTGTCTTACTTTCGTATCCTTTACAGGACTATTCATGCTAGGAAAATATGTTTTTTTTTGTCTACAATTCTTATTTGGAGGAATCTTTCCTGGTGTTATGAAAAGTTTTGATCTTGTACTTTCTTTTTTTTTTTCATTTTCTACATTTTGTTTCTTCAATGGTGAATTTACATTTGGACTTACAAAATATTTTGTTCTATTTGATGTTTTTTTAATGTCACTTTCTTTTTTGGAAACTTTAGTTTCTTCGTGTCTTAGATTAGAGTTTTCAGGTGTTTTTAAGTTACTTTCAGTTATAGGAGAATTTTGAAGTATCTTTAAAAGAGGTTTATGTTTTTCTAAATATGTTTGATAGCTTTTACAAGAAACTAGAGTTTGTAAAAATTTAGTTTCATCATTTAATAAATTAGACTCATTGTCATTGGCAAATATTCTCATTGTTTTTTGTATCTCTGTTATTTCAGGATCCGCATTAATTTCTGTAATAATTCTTGCTGTATTAAAACATCTCCTCCTTTTTTCTGCTATGTCTTGCATAAGTGTTTTTTCTAGTTCATCTGGATCTAACAGTCCACAATTATTTGTAAACTTATTAGGTGTTATTTTATCTGAATCAGATTTTTTATTTATTCTTTTATTTTTTTTCTTAGAATATGAAATATCATTAAACAGATTATCTTTTGACTTATTATGTAATTCTTTTAACTGAAAAGAATTACATTCTGATTTATTTCTAGGTAGTTCATTAGACATATTTAATGATGCCATCTGTTGCTCACATATATTATGGATTTGACTCATACTTAATAAAGAAGATGTTGATGAACTTTTACGTAAAGGTGTAGAGTCCTCTTGTTCTTTGGGAAATAATTTATTACATTGATCTTCCCAATGTTCAAAAGACGCATTACTTACATTATCTACATTATCAATACTCTTAGAATTAGAATTACATTTTGAGATTTTAGCCAAAAATCTTCTTTTAATTACATCTGCACCAGAAATAGGAGTAAGTACAGATGTATTTATAGGAGAATATAATTTTTCATTTTTTATGTGAGTAGATTTATTACATGCAGGGCTTATAGATATTTGTGAATATGAAGGCGTAGACAGTGGAGATGGAGCCCATTCAGGAGCAGTTTCATCTTCTATAAATTTACACATTTTTTTAAATTCTGTTGTTAATCTGCTCAAATCTATTGCAGATGTATTGCTTGTATTATCATCATCATGTATAACAGATTCTTCAATGATGGTTAAGAGCTTCTCAGTAAAATTTTCTGGTGATTGTATAAATTTATCAGATAAACGTTTTAAAATTTGTTGTGTCTGTGAAACTTCTTGTACTTGGTTAAAATAATTATCCAATGAACAAAGTATTGTCTCAAATTTATTTGTTTCGATATCCATATGTTTATCTTTACAATTTCTATAAAGTGTCTCTTTATCTATATTTGTACAGTTAGAGGAAGAAACAAGTTGTGGTAATTTTTTGCTAGGTGTATAATCTAAAATTGACCTTGCATTTAATATATTATTGTTTACATTGAAATTCGTATTAGATTGTGACATAGTATGTGAATCTGTGATGTGTTTTTGAATTGAACTTGATAATTTATTAGATGTATTATTCAGAGAATCTTGAGGATTATTATTTTCTTTAGTATTATCCACTTTAGTATCATCCACTTTAATATATAACTGTTCAACTTGAAATAAGTCAATGCGCTTATTTAAATCTGGTGCAACATGACTATCTGAAGATGAAGTATGTAAAATTGATGGATTCTGTACACAAGAATATTTTGAAGAGCTGCCAGCTAAAATAGTGGAATCTTTATTGTTGCAAGTAATATCGTCAGATGTACTTTTATTTTTAATTTCAATTAAACTGTCCTGAGACATTGAAGAAAATGTATCGGAATCAATATCAGAATATTCTGAAAAAAAGTTATTTTATTGTTAGATGAAAATTAATATTAATATCATAATCAAAATAAATATATGGACTAATTGATTGAGACTAAGTAAGAATCACCTGCATTATCTGTTTTCTTACGAAAATTACTTATCGAATCCATGAAATTATTGGCTCGTCTTCGACAGTGGCTCATCTTTATAGTATTATATTTTTATACTAGTAATATCTTGATTACATTCAATTGTGCACTTGTAATTAATTTTTTAATACAACACTACATATCTGTTAGCTGTTGGAAACGTTACAAACTACTACAATTAAAACATTTTGAATTATCAGTGATACCAACATATTAAAGAATTATGTATAGGAAATAATCTACAATTTAGGTTGGTAAAATAGAAAGTAATAATGGTTTGAAGATGGTTTTTTTTAAATCATCTTTTAATATTTGAAATTGTTTAAAGTAAAATGATATTAAGACAACTTTGAATTTATTACTTATCAATATTTCTTTTATTTATATTTTTTGCACAAAAATTTATATAGAAATATAATGTTAAAATATTTGAAAAAAAATATAACCTTCATGGATACAAATGAAACAGAATCAAATGCATTTTTTTCTAAGACTTATGACACAAAATATATAAGATTTGTAAATAAAGTGCTAAAAGAGTCAGCTGCCAGTTTTGAAAAAGAACAGAAATGTACGTATATTATAACATGTGATTATCAATAATAACATTTTAGGTAACAATTAATAACTTTAGTTTTAGATAATGTACTATTAAATCTGTATAATATTTTTGGTGGTGTATTTGAGAGGGCATTAGAATTGTATGAAGGGAAACGTATTACTTATATTTTTCCTTCTAAAACTGTTGGTGCTCCACCTGATAGTGATAGAAACAAAGCCAGATATTTAGTACAGGTCAAAGGATTGTCAGGAGCAACATATACGCTTTTTCCAGATATAAACTACTGTCACTGTGCCTCCTTTAGGTATAAAATTTCTTAATTTTCTAGACACTTATGATAAGAAAGAGATTATTATATAATATGCTTTTAGATGTCAAGTGTTAAACGATAGATCCTTATTTACTTGTAAACATGTTTTAGCAGTTTGGTTAACTGCAGTTACCAAAGATAAATTATCTCATCAAAATATAACAGAGAAACAATTCCAAAGTTTACTATTATTTCAAGTTTCAAATAAAGAACATGGATTCTGAAGGAAATTATAAATTAGTTGCAAAATTAGGAAATCTTAAAACCATAGTATTGTTACTAAAAGCAATTAATTTTGAAGAGGTATAATGATATTGAGATATATTCAACTGAAACTTTTAACGAAGATAAAAGATTTAATTTGAAAGTTTTTTTTATTTTTCTTCAGAGTGCCACATGTTTTGGAACTAAGAATGGCTTAAAATTAACAGTAGAAGATGCAAAATGTATGCAAGCTAGTGCTTACATTGCAGCTGATGTGTTTCAAGTGTTTGATTTAAAAGAAGATGTAATTTTTAGAATAAATTTAAATATATTAGTGGAGTGCCTTTGTATGTTTTGGAGCAATATAAATACTCAAGCAAGTTCTGTGGCCTTACATCTTTTCTATGAAGTATATACAGTTAAAATGTAATATATGTAAATCGTAGATAGAATTAGCTATTAATAAGTTGAAAGTTTTAATAGGGTGATGGACATCCTTTATCAATTCTTATAGAGGAAGATGGTATTATAACAGACTGTTCTTTGAAAACTCAGACTCCTGATGAATTATTAGATTTTCATCTTGAACCAGAAAATGTTGCAAATAAAGTAGTTCTTCAAACTGAATTGTTAAAAGATATTTTATCAGAACTTGATACAACTAGTGATTTTATTGAGGTAGAGCATAATTTAATGCTTGACATATTGCATTGCAGTACTATTTACATTATTATTTCATATTTTGGTAATATTACAGCTACTTTTGTCACCTTCTCCACCCTTTTTTCGAATCAGTACAGCTGGTTTGGCTGGAATCTGTCATATTGAGTTACCCCATGATGGTGAATTGATTGATAATTTTCAATGTCCATCAACAACTACATCAAGTTATAAACTTTCACATATTAAACCAGCTATAAAAGCACTGTCATGTGCAAACAAAGTTTCATTGAGGACTGATACATGTGGATTATTATCGTTTCAATATATGGTTAAGACTGATGAAGGACATGTTTGTTACATAGAATATTATGTACGTGTGATTTACTCTTATTGAGAGATATAATGTATATATAAATATGTAAATTTTTCAGATTTCTCCAGTAATAGATCCTGATGAATAACTTGATTTGATGAAGCAGATAGTGAGGTACTAAGAAAATACTAATTAAGAAAGTTTCAAAATTTTTTTATTTTATTTTATATTGTTTATAATTAAAGCTTTCCATTCATTGTATTCGTTTCCATTGTATTTATATAAAAAAATGATATTTTGATACAAAGATGTTCAAAATTATTCTTTATGTCCATTCGTTATATCCGTAATAAATATAACATACATGGAAGCATATGGATGATTTAAAGATACATAAAAAATATATAAACTTTCAGTACTTTTAAAATGTTACATAATAATGTTCGTTTTACATATATGAATATAAAGCGATATATTCATGTATTATATTACGAAATATTATATCCTTTGAAAATAATATTAATGTTTATGCGTACATATGTGTTATTGTGCGTGTAAAAAAGTTTATTTCTCTATTGTTTAACATTTATGAGAACAATATATTGCCCCTTAACTAGGCGAGAACAACTTTCAACATCGTTAATCAATTTTTAATTCATCGAGGGACGTTATTTCTTCAAGTAAAATTTTTATTCTTGAACTTTGTACACTCTCGTGCATACGATATCATCAACTTTCATGATCTGAAATAAAAAAATATTTATTCCTTTATTTCGATTAAATATAAATAATTAAAAAAAAATACATATATATATACACATAATAAATTATTTTTATCGAATAGGTTTGAATGTATTTCTATACTTTTCAAAATGCCTTTCAAGGCTTTGAAACGATTATTATTAACTCTATTATTGAACTTATTACATTGTTCAAGTCACGAAGAGCACGCGGTAATTGGCGGACCTTTTGACCAATGACAGACATTATCATCAGATATTCGCTCTGTTATCTTTTGTTGTGTCGTTCAACCTTACAGAACTTCCATTGCATAAAATGTAATTCAATTGAAACACTGAACTTCTAATTTCTTAATGGTCGAGATTACGTAATTTATTATGACTACAGTTTTTATTAGATTTAACGTTTACGAGATAATGAGCAAAGTATTAAGGTACAAAGGTTGATAAAAACTATAGACGGATCTTTTCTTCTAGTTTCTTAAGGCGTGGTGCCGAAATACTGCAATTTTTTTTCAGACATACATACCGCTTTCATTTCTGTCGGCGTGAATTCTCTTTCAATAGTAGTTTCCTTCTCTCCCTTTTGTTTTTGAATAAGTTTATTTCCCTCTAAAGTGCAGACGCTTTTCACTTGTCTTCCGTCTATCGTTTCTTCATCGAATTCTTGATTAAGTTTGAATTTTATCTCCGAATTCTTAAATGCACTAGTTGTTTTCAACGTGTAGACTCCATTGTTCTCCGTTAATTCAACCACGGGACTTAGGCTGCTGCCCATTTTACGTGTCATTAAACCTACACCTAGAGAAAGAAAAGACAAAAAAAAAAAAAAAACAAATGAGAACAAAGCTTAGAAATATGCGGATCAAAAACAAAAGAAAAGATCTCTAAACTCGGTCGTTCACAAAAAGCAACTTCTCTGCAAATTGATGTAAAATCAAAAGATGTTGAATTACAATATTTGATTATCGGCAAGTTTAAGGTACGTTCCGCAAAATAAATTATGCAAGGCTTACCCAAAGCCTTCATGTAGTCGTCAAAACTTTCACTCGATGAGTGAAGTTTATATGGTTTTCCCAAAACGGATGGATTCATTTTGAACGAAAGAGCACGATACGTTGCCAACGAAGGTAAAAGCAAAACTGAACGCCAACGATACTATTATCACACTTTATATTGAGAACGGTGGAATCAAGATTTTTTTTTTTTTTTCTGATTAAAATATCAAATAATTGAAGTTTGAACTTTCTAGCGATTATTTACGATATCTGCAATGCATCAAGCATACATTATCTTCGAAAACAAAAAGTTATCGTGCTCTTATTTGCTCGCATCGAATTACAGTTACGTGATATTTTATATGTGCGAATAATATCGTACAAAAGATGCTATTAGATGTCTGATGTGATTATCATCGCGATTAAATTATATAATTGCCATCAACGTTATTATTCACACTTCTTGATAGGTGACTGTGTAAATATGATTTAAAATATCATCGTCATTTTTCTGCAAAAAAACAAAAGTACGCATGTTTTTTTTGTACACGTCGAGCATCAGTACATTATTTCGCTTCCCTCGATTCACGCACGAGGAAGGAATAATTTATATTCCTTGCTAGTATTAGTCAACACTTCAACGTGTGAGCGATGTCGATCAGAATGAGCTTGCAGTTTTATTTAATTTCCGGTAATCATATGAAATAACAGGTTGCAATATAATGAGAATGTGAAAATGCGAAGGCGGATATATGCTTACACGAATGTTGTCATCGCTTGGAACGTGACAAATTATTAGTATTTTGCAATGTTACGTACATTTGTTCTTCGATTGACGCCCCTATTCGTCCATTAACAAGCAACACGATCAATGTATTTTTATTAAGTTAACTCGAGTACCACACATTAGTACGATTCGACTGACAATTGCGATTTATTAATCTTGCCGGTAAATTAATTCAAGTGCTAAATTGGAGTACAATCGGACTCTGTCTGTGGCACATGGCGGGAATTAAGCGTGAGGTCAGGTCGTTGCACAGCCACAGGAGCATAGTTCAACATATTAAAATTGATTATCTTATTTATCATTACAATACGTTGCCGTCCCTAATATTATAAATGAGATCGTTCGTCTGTAGTCGAATTAAATTTTCCGGTGACAGAACTGGCATCCAGCGTGCACGCCAGATTCTTCGAGGTTCGTTTATCAAAATATATTTTATTTGGTTACTTCTGCTTTGCTTTAATCCCTCGACGTCGGTCTAGATATCTTAATGTGTAACATAGATACATCGTGGGTTCATTCGAACAATGAAACATATCGATCGATAGTTACAAGAACGACTTTGTGAGTTGTTTCATAATATTGTTATTCGAATATTAATGAATATTATTGAAATTGTTTTCCTTATCGACCGGGCGCGAGGGGAAATGTTGCCTCTCGGCTATACGGTATGTTACGCGTGTTTTTTTAATAAATATTGCGTTTCGAGCGTGACATTTACGGTTTATTTACCACAGCAGTCGGTGACGATAATAACGTTTGATATCATAATCTGTCGGATGAAATTCAACGATACAGCACGCCTCTTGTATTTCAGTTCGCCTTTGCCGTCACAGATTAGCACGTTTAATTACGAACCACAGAATAATGTCCTTAGATGTTCGAATGTAATTCATCGGAGCGACTTACTTGTTATTAAGCAATATTCATACGTACCGAGCGCTTTCATGAAATCATCGAAATTCTCGCTGCTGAACAGCTTGTATTTCTTTCCAAGGAACTCCAGCATGACGATCGATCAAATTTGGACTTGAACACGTGACCAAAGAGTATGTCTGAAAGGACGATAGATGTAGTCGGATAGAGAAAATATGATAACAAACCAATGTACACCGTCTTGTTGCCGGCTCTAGACTGACTAGGATCCGGGAGGACGAACAGCGTTAAAGGTACACTCTGTCTGAACTAACTGGACGTCTCTCTCTCTCTCTCTTTCTCTCTCTCTCTCTCTCTCTTCGTTTCCCTCTCTCTCCAATCCTGCATGTATGCTGTCTCACTCCTTTTCGTTCATCCCCTTTCCGCCGTTCCCTCGATCGATCTCTCTTTCTCATTCGACTTTCATCACGCTCTTTCCGTCTTCTATTCGAAAATCTTTCGTCTCTGTTTCATCGTTTAACTCGCGTGTTTGGGCGGTCCCCTCCCGGGATATTTGCAGCTGCTACGTGGAATCTGTCTTTCTCTCGTACCTACAGTTTTCTTTTTTGGTTTTCTCTTTGCTCATGTCACACGTTGTCGTGAAATCGGTCCTCGCTTTTTCTTTTTTTTTTTTTCCTTAGTTACCTTAGTTCTAATAATAGAGAGTTTGTTTTCATCAACTTTGAACATTTTTTTTTTTTTTTT